CTCTGAGCCTCATTAAACGTCTGAAAATGTACCTACAAGCCACTTTTGTGTTCTTCTGTGCCACTGTGCCAATTCATATTATTGGTAACCTCTTTGTCTTATTCTACTTCTTATTATATTGTTTTAAATAGAAATTTTAAAAAGCTTATAAACATACATCTTTGAATTGGACACAGATGCCATTACAAAGGTAAAAAGAATATACCCCTGTAAGTCACTTTAAGGAGTCAAATATCACCTCGTATTAGCAAGGCTAATTTTTTATCAGAATTTTTTATTATTGATCAGAAGGTGCTCCTAAATTTTTTTAATTAGGAGGACAAGCGCTCCTAATTACAAGAAGAAAAAATAGCTTTTAAACTGGGTGTGTGACGGGTATGGCTGTGGAATGGAGTTTGGCTTTTTTTTTGCTTTAAACCCTGTTTATGGTGCTATTTCAAAAATTGTCCTATATGTTCTGTCAAAGACAGAACAAAACGGCACTAATAATTGGGGGTGGAGATGGGGTAGCGTGAAAAAAAAAAACAGCGCGTGTGTTGATGCGCAGCCTAGAGCCCTGAGCGGGACAGTTTTCTTAAGCCCACTCCCGCTGTATTTCTGACCATTACCGCCCACTCCCGCCGCAACATGTGTCCCGCTCCTGCAAATATTCTAATATTAACTTTCGATTTCACGATCACGCGCACTCTGTGTAAAGGGAGCACATCTTACAGTGTGTGCATAATTATTAGGCACGTTGGTATTCGGATCATATGTTTTTCCAAGCACATTTGACCAATTCCAAGCCACATCAATCTTAATAACTACTATTATTTTTGTATTTAATCATTTAGAAGTGATATATAATTGTCCATGAAGGCTGGAAATGAAAAACTCATTAAGGTGTGCAGAATTATTAGGCTGGTTTTCTTTTATGAAATGAAATGAGCCAAAAAAAGAGATTTAACTTAGACTGAGAAGTCAAAAATGATTAAATCCCCATGAGAAATATTAAAAACTAATGCAATACAGAAATTTCAAAGTTAAGGCATGACCATTGGTCAGCAAAATGCTCATTGGGTCAGCGGGGTCAGTACTTCGCTTGGGTAAAAAATCCTAAAAAATGACCCCTACTAAATAAGAATAACATTCTGAAGTGTGAAATACATGAAGACTATTTGTATAGGCTTTATGGACAGATAAGTTGAAAGTGACTCTTGAAGGACCAGCACCACATCCTCTTGTTCCACTTTTAGAAGAATTTATCTTCCAGAATCTGGCAGTATGTTTTAGGAGCTCATTTTTGGCAGTCTCTGCAAGACAGACTTTTGAAGAATTGATCTTCCAAAATCTGGCAGTAAGTTTTAGGAGCTCATTTTTGTCAGTCTCTGCAAGACAGACTTTTCAGGATAGGAGATGGACTAAAAATGAACTCCTAAAACTTACTGCAACATTGGTCAAAATTTTTATTTCTTTTCTTTATATTTTATTTTTTTTTGCAGATTTGCACGTTCATTAAATATTTTCAAAAAATATTGACGTTTTGAGCAGCTTTATTACTCTGAAATTTTTAATGTAAATGTTAAGTGTAAGTGAAATGTTAAGTACTGTAAGGTCTTTCATGACACTACATAAATGTTGTGTTTGTGGTAAACAGCCACGGATGAGTAGCGGACTCCTGTGTGAAAGCACAATATGAGACCGTGCTGCTTCTGTACCGCTTACATACCGCACATGGACTACATATGCACTGCAAACAGAATAGGCTTGCCCCATTATAAAATCAAAAATGCACTGCATGATCAAACATGTAGGTGAGATAATTATATATACCGCACATGGACTACATATGCACTGCAAACAGAATAGGCTTGCCCCATTATAAAATCAAAAATGCACTGCATGATCAAACATTTAGGTGAGATAAATGTATATTTTTGAAAAATGTCTAAAATATGCCCTCCCTCCACCCCTCAAATTTCAAATACACCCTCCTCTCCCACAAGAGTCACCTAAGAGGGGAATTCCCCCCATTTTCAAAAATGAATTTCAGGCCCTGAATGAATGTCTGTAAAAATCCTGACTGGAGTATCATTATAAATAATTCTACATGACAAAAAGAAGGCTTCAAAAAGATCGGTATTGGTGATCGCCGATCGGTATCGGCAGATACTGCTTCTTGTGAATACTTTCATGTGTATACTTTCATGGTGCTTTTATGCCTTTTTTGAAGCTTAAAAACTTGAAGTTTGTAATGAAGTGATGATGTTCACCTTATACTGATTATGTATATTTTAATTTGAACAGAGGTTAACTGACGTCTTCCGGCGGTATGACACAGATCAGGACGGTTGGATCCAGGTGTCATACGAGCAGTATCTCTCAATGGTCTTCAACGTGGTATAGCACAACACAAGCACGCCTGCACTCTCCTGTGCCAAACAACAAATGTCCCTCCCCATGCAGTCTGTAGCAGAGACTAGTCAACACTACCCTCTACAGGACAACACAGGGACGGGATCTTTATGACTCTTCATTCCATCTGTCTGTTAGTAGTTATATCATATTTCTTTATTACCTTAACTATTATTATTGAAAGAATGATGGAATATCACTCTCTCTGTGTTTAAGGAATGTTGACATTGTGAAAATCATATTACGTCTCAGTTGCATGCTTTCTGATAAACCTCCTTAATGTCAAAGCATGAACTAATATTTCTTTTTGTGGCTGAATTCATGTTTACAATGAAATACTGTGAGAGCAGGTTGTGTTTCGCCATAATAAGATCCTTTTATTTGGATTGACTGTCAGCTCTTCCATATATTTGTAAAGAATTATATTTTTAATCTGCACAATGTAATTCAACCTTTTATTTTAGGAAGGACATATGCTTTTGTATGCCTTTTTCATGCATGATGCCTTACAACTGTTAAAATAACAAAAAAAGATAACTGTTTTATTAAAAACTGGAACCTGTTTGAAAAGGAGTCTTTAATTTGTATTTGCATCTTTTAAGGAAGGTTTATTTTTTTATAAATATTAAGGACAGGGACACCTACCAATAGCTTGACAGCACACACAAGATAATGGAGTTTCATTACTGTCAAATGTCAACAACAAATCTATATTTTTAAAGGTTGGATTGCATGTTTATGATTTCTCTTTATGCACAATTCTACCCCCTAGTGGATGATTTTGAGCAATACATGATTGGGCATGTTCAATACATACAGGTGCATCTCAATAAATTAGAATGTCATGGAAAAGTTCATTTATTTCAGTAATTCAGCTCAAATTGTGAAACTCGTGTATTAAATAAATTCAATGCACACAGACTTAAGTAGTTTAAGTCTTTGGTTCTTTTAATTGTGATGATTTTGGCTCACATTTAACAAAAACCCACCAATTCACTATCTCAACAAATTAGAATTAGGGATATGCCGGTATCAAATTTTCATGTTGCGATGCTTTTATCACGGTATACGGTATTATCACGATATTGAAATTTTGTGTTAAAAAAAGTGCTGTCAATACAGTATAACAGGTTTAATAACTTTTTTCTTATAACAAAAATTAAATGTGAGCCAAAATCATCACAATTAAACGAACCAAAGACTTAAACTACTTCAGTCTGTGTGCATTGAATTTATTTAATACACGAGTTTCACAATTTGAGTTGAATTACTGAAATAAATGAACTTTTCCACGACATTCTAATTTATTAAGATGCACCTGTATATGTCCTAGCAAAGCAATTAAAAATCTAAATATTAAATATATATATTAGAATTGAAGTTTTATATTTGAAATTTAATATTTCAACAATAATGGTTTGTTAAGATGGGAGGAAAACATTTTGCTAATTTGCAAAATGTAAAGGATATCACTAGGATTTTATTTTTTAAACTTTAGAACCACTACTAAATATTTTGAATATGATTCGATAATAGTCAATCAAGATGCTGGATAGACTGAAATTTGTAAGAGAATATTAAATCAGAAGGATTACACATATATATATTTTAATAGAGCATTATAGTTTTTCTCATTCCACACAAGTACAAACAGAAATCACATGACTAATGAATGTTGCTGAATCATGTTTCTGTTTTGGTTATCACCTAGGAAAAAAAAATGTTTCTATGACATTCTCCTGCTGAGATATGATCATTTAAAAAATATAGCATTTTTTTTTGCATTGTTTCATTGCAATCTATTTTTGCATTATTTCATAAGGTAGATGTTTACTGGATATAAATACACTTACTGATCTGCTGTCTGAATTTTCTCAGATTGGAGAAAGAAGGAAATTAATATGCATATTCTGCAACTTCTGTCATTTTCTGATTACAGTTAAATGCACATCTGTATGAATAAAAGATACAAATAATTTTTAAATGTATGCGGTATGAGTATTAGGACGTTATATTTGGTTTGAGTATTAGGATGTTTCTCACATTTGCAAAATGAGAAGTACAAGCAGAGAAGTGTTTGCCCAGGCAGCCGTGAGCATCGGGTTGGAGGTGAACACACCGCCCAGCCCTGAGCACTCGCGCCTGGATGATTGGTTTCTCGGCGGGAGTGCGGCTGACAACCGCATTCTGCCCCAGTTCCTTTCTTCCTGGAGGTGCATGAGGAGGTCTCGATGTTGTCAACAAGACGTTGACAAATTTTGCTTTCTTGTTGCTCCCATCACACAGGCTGGCCTATTCGGCAACACTGTTGAGGAGCAATTCTTGGCAGTACAGAAGCAGACTGAGGCCATCAAACACATCATGCCCTGACGTGACCCCCCTCCTGCCACCCATCCGTCCAGGGCCAGCCAACAGCCTGCTCGTCGCCATGGGTGCCCTCCTGCGTCCTCCACAGCTGCTCCGTCCCATGCTGAGACTACATTGAAGCCGGCACGTCGAGCACCACGCAGAAAAGCCACAGCCCCCATGTACCAGTCTGCCGCTAAGTCCGAAGGCTTCTGAAAACAAGCTGGAGGAGCAACGAACACTGGCTGAAGAGGAGGAGGAAGCGGTGTGCATGAAGGCAGAAGAGGGGTAAGTGGGCCGGCTTAATAGCCAGACTAAAGGCTAACAACAGACCCATTTCCCAACGCTTTTCATAGTAAATGTCCGCTCGCTTGACAACAAGATGGACTTAATGCGACTCAGAGTAAGCAGTTATAAGGAAATGAGGAATTGTTGTGTACTTCTGTAAAAGGAGACATGGCTATGTAACAATACCCCAGACTCAGTTTACCATATCGATGGGTTACTCCTCTTCTGAGCTGACCGAAATCATCTGTTGGGGAAAACTTGCGGAGGGGGACTCTGTGTTTACATAAAGGCTGGTGTATGAACTGCTCTCTGGTAAACAGCCACTGTTCTGAAGCGGTGGAATATTTGACATTGAAATGCCGACCATACTACCTGTCTCGGGAGTTTACAGTTGTGTTTATTGTGGTTGTTTACATCCCCCCGAGTGCCAACGCTAACATGGCTCTCAGGGATTTACATGACCATATCTGTAAGCTACAGAACAAGCATCCAGAGGCTTTTTTTTGTGGTGGCACGTGATTTTAACCATGTTAAATTACTGGATATTCATCCCCAGTTCCACCAGCATGTCTCCATAGCAACCAGGGGAAACAACAAGCTGGACCGTGTGTATACTAACAGACGGGAAGCATACAGAGTGGTGCCCCGCCCCCATCTGGGCTTCGCTGATCACAATTCCATCCTGCTGGTCCCTGCCCATCATCCTGTGCTTAAAGACAAAAAACCCACAGTAAAAACTATCACGGTGTGAAGGTGAAGGCACAGGATTTAGCCTTTAGGACAGGAGATGCACCTGCACTGAGAGCTGCGAGGGGGGAACTAGAAGTCGGCATCAAGAGGGCAAAGGCTAATTATGCTCGGAAATACAGGGTCACAATTCTACCAATATACCAATGACCCCCAGAGCATGTGGAAGGGCATCAAGAGCATCACCAACTACAGCAGAAGAGATCTTGTATGCCCTCAGAATCCATCTTTTCCCGATGCCCTGAATACATTTTATGCCTGCTTTGAGACAGCCAATTCCTCTCCCTGTTCTGCATTTACACTCCATCCAGGTGAGCTGTCTTTCAGTGTGTCTGTTGAGGATGTGAGAAGGACAGTGCTGAGAATTAACACGTAAAGCTAAAGGCATGGATAATATCCCGGGAAGGGTCCTGAAAGACTGTGCTTATGAACTTGCTGGGGTGCTGACTGACATCTTTAACACCTCACTCTCCCAGGCTGTGGTGCCAATGTGTTTCAAGACACCTACTATCATCCCCATTCCCAAAAGTGACGTACATGAATGTATCATGTATTCATACATGAATGAATACGTTTCTCTCACTCTGATAATTATGAAATGCTTTGTTATGGCACACATGAAGGATACCATTGACATTAATGTGGACCCCCCATCAGTATGCTTACAGGGATAACCGGTCTGCATCGTATACAGTTTCATCCACTCTGCTCTCACCCATCTGGAGAGCAGGGACTCTTATGTCAGGCTGCTCTTCCTAGACTTTAGTTCTGCTTTTAATACGATGGTCCCGCAGACTCTAGTCAATAAACTGTTGCTGCTTAGATTGAAACCATCACTTTGTAACTGGGTCCTGGACTTTTTAACAAATGGGCCACAGACTAAAGTCCATGGCATTTCATCTTTGTCTATTATCCTTAACACCGGCTCCCCCCAGGGATGTGTCTTGAGCCCCATGCTGTATACGCTATTAACATATGACTGCTTGCCTAAATATCCGGGCAATCATATTGTGAAGTTTGCTGATGACATGACTGTGGTGGGATTAATATCCCACAACACCGAGTCCTTCTACAGACAGAAGGTGGTAGAACTTGTGGACTGGACTTTAGGAGGAGAGGTTACACCCCCTCTCCCCTCTTCATTGGAGGAGCAGCTGTGGAAATGGTCTCCAGTTTCAAGTATCTCGGGGTACACATTTCCAATGACTTCACATGGGTTATTAACACAGCCAGCATTATAAAGAAGGCCCACCAATGCCTGTATTTTCTTAGGAGGTTGAAGAGGGCTGGTCTCAGCACTCCGGTTCTGCTAGCATTTGTGGTGGAGAGTACACTCACCTTTTCTATCACTGCCTGGTACGGAAACTGTTCTGCTGCTGACAAGAAGGCGCTGCAGAGTGTGGTCAAATCTTCCCAAAAAACTCACAGCAGCCTCCCCTCCATTGAGGACATTTGTACCAGCAGGTGCAGAAGCAGAGCATTCTGTATTATGAAGGATCCCACCCACCCGGCAAATGAGCTGTTCGATCCTTTCCCCTCAGGCAGGAGGCTAAGAAGCATTTAAGCCAGAACAACAAGGCTCAAATGCAGCTTCTTTCCAGAGGCAGTAAGACTCACGAATTCCCTGCCTTAGTGACTTATCTCTCTGCTGCGCTGTTTCTTCTTAATATTGCTCTGGTTTAATATGCTAATATGATGCACTGCTTTTTAAACTTGCTGTTTAATTATTTATTATTAATAGTTTTTAGTTTTTCAGGTATTTTATTTTAAATTTAGTTTATTCATTATTTTTAAATGATTGTATGCATATTTGTATATAATTTGTTTCATTGTCCAACCCCTGTAGTAATACCAGTAAATTTTGACCTTTTGGGGACAATTTTTAGGTCCCCATGAGGAAAAAAGCTTATAAATCATACAGAATGAAGTGTTTTGAAAATCAATAAATGATACAAGGTTTGTGTGAGGGGTAGATTTAGGGGAAGGGGATAGAAAATACAGTTTGTACAGTAGAAAAACCATTATGTCTAAAACATGGTATTAGCTTTTACTGTTATGCTGATGATACTCAGCTCTATATCTCTTCGCGGCCCGATGAAACATACAAATTTGGAATGCATAGTTGATGTAAAAAACTGGATGACTAGTAATTTCCTACTGCTAAATTCTGAAAAAACAGAGGTTTTAAT